ATATATATATAATATTGGATAGGACTAGACATTACATCAATCATTTATATATTTATTAAACTATTAATATAATTAAGTGATGAAACATTTTTTATGCTCTCTAAATATACTATTTAGTTGTACTTCTTTTCCGAATATAATGGGATCGGAGCAAGTAATTCATACCGATTAAAAAAGTCAGTTAATATCGTTTAACTATATTAGTTTATTTAAAAATATTTTTTTATATTACTTTCATTGGAACTTGATACATTAAGAATAAATCAAAGAGGATTGATGAAAATAAAATCGTAATTAAATGAAGAATATATTCTTCGTAAAATTAATTAAAATTTATTTATATTTAACATTAATAAATATGTTTTTTTTTACTTATATTTAATATTAACAATCACGTATTTTGTTTTACTCATTCGGGGTTTTTTAGTTAAATTTTGGAAATTGTAAAATTATGACTCACTCTTTATTTAACGAGTTTCACTTGTAGTTTTATGATTATCAATAAATTTTAATTAATAATAAAAATATTATAATAACTATATTAAAAAATAGGGAAGGAAAAAGGAGTTCCAGCCTATGGGTTAGATTAGTATTTTAGCCTGATAGACCATTTGACTTGTTTCATTTAATCCACCAATCATTTGGTAAACTAGTATAGCCCAACCCATTTTTGACGAGCCTAAAAGGGTTGGGTGGGTTTATTTTGCAACTCCTACTAGAAAGTGTATTACTAGTAGAGTAAAATAGGTTACACTAGACTATGTTTAAGTTTGTCCTTTATTAAAAATACATAACATGACTTTGACCTATTTACTTGTCATAGGTTTTTTAAAAGACTTGACTTGATCTACAAACTTGCTTAAAGGTTTATTTTATAATAATTTAATACCAAGATAAAAATGAATAGATATGCTGAGTTTTATTTATATGAGATAAACATAATTCTAAGATTTAATTAACATTCATAATGATAACTTATTTTAAAAAAAATATTTTGCAATAAGTTTGAATTTTTATGCAAGTCAACATCTTAATATTTAAAAAAAATGAATAATATGATTTTAATACATTATAATATAATAATATTAATAATAAATATTTATTTATTTTTATTTAAGTAGATTGACTTTTAAGCCTATAAATATTTTTGAGGATGTGGAATTTGACCTTTTTAGTTAAATACTCTCTCTCTCCTTAAATATAAAACTCTTACGTCTATTAAGAAAGTTCATTATTCCCATTAATATAAATTTATTAATAATTTATATTATTTTTAAAATATTATTTATAAAATAATATCTCTAGTCTCAATTTTATATTTGTTGAACCCTTTCACTTTTTTTTTCATCTAAATAATGAATGTGAGAATGTTATGTATCTTATTAATGTATAACATTTATTCTAAATTATTTAAGGATATTTTAATGAAAAAATAATTAATATATAAAAAATAAAAATAAAATAGTAAAGACAAACAAATCTATAAAAATAAAGTCTTACATATTGATACAAAGTAAGTAAAATTTAATAAAAGCATTAGCATGATTTATTTTCTAAAAGAATTAACTTAGATCTCATATAGATGAACTCAAAGATTCTTGTGGAGTGATTTATCTATATTCATCTCCATTTAGTAGCACTACTCTTGTTATTAATAATATTATTATTTTATCCTTTTTGAAATGCATGGTGATTTTATTTCTTTACAAAAGACTAGATGGTGATTTTATTTCTCTACGCTCTATTGCTTTTCTTCTCCACTGTTGGGTAGGTCTTGTTTTCTCTCTTATTCTTCTTTTTCTTTTCTTCTCTTCTCTCTGCCATTTCGTCGCTTCTTCTTCTAGGTTGTTGGGTGGCTCTTTCTTTCTCTTCGTCTCCTCTGTTATTGGGTATTCTGTTCTGTGCCTCCATGCTCTGTCCCACACCTCCACTACCTTGCTTCATCCCGCCTTGACTAATAAACCTTTTATGCAAATCGAAAAACTCGTCTGCTAAATCTGATTAATCTATGAACACTCACTTGACTATCTCGATGTAATGATCAGTTCACTACGAATCGAAGAAAGACGCAACTTGGGTTTCACTGATTTTGAAAATTCAAACCTGAACCCATCCGAAATCAATCGTTGCTCAAACATCTTAGGATGGAAGCAAAGTCTCACATCGTTCAAATAAGAGGATGCACATGAGTTTATATACACACACTTGTCTCCATTGGTTGAGAGACTTTTTTGGGTGATGTTCAAAAGCAAAATCGTGAGAGCTTGGGTCCAAAGCAAATAATATCTCATCCACATGTGTATATGTCATATGTGTGGTAACTCCTTCCGTGTTCAACAAAGCCTAACCCATCTTGACTCCTTACAAGTTGGACAATAGGTGGATTAATCCAATCTAACATCTCACCAGTGTAGAGACATGTATATATGTGTGGTAACTCCTTCCGTGCTCAACAAAGCCTAACCACATCTACCATCAAAGTGAGTAACCCATCTTGACTCCTTATAAGTTGGATAATAGGTGAGTTAATCCAATCTGACTCACCTTTTAGTGAGTTTAATAAAAATTAATTTAATTTGACTCACCATATGTTGGTAGGTTAAATGAGTTGGTTCACTTAAATTTTAAAAAATAAAAAAAAATAAACTTTATAAAAATACATTATAATATTATATTTTAGAATTACAACTATATTAACAAAAATATAAAAAAAATGCCATTAATAAAAATAAACATCAACCATAACCAATTAATTAACTTATAATATTAAATAATATCAAAGTTATTGCATAAAATATTGATAAATAATATCAAATTGACACTAATTATCATTATTCATAATTATGTACAATTCTTAGTCAATGTTTTAAATATATAATTACATAAATTAACATTTAGAAATCTAAAAAATAAATAAAAGTTTTATTAAGTAGGTCAACTCGTGAACCAACTTAACTTATCATGAGTTGATATATAGTGAGTCAGGTTGTAAATGAGACAAGTTAAAAAATTTTATA